TCTATACCACTTATTTATTCCTTGGCTTCTTCCATCCTTGTGTTCATTGGATCATATAAGTTTCAAATCTCAGTAATTGCATTTTTCATTTCTGACTGATCATTTTTTAACTGTTTTATCTCTTCAATAAGGATCTCCTTGAGGTCTTCCATTCTTTTTTCAAGTCCAGTGAGTATCTTTACGATTGTGGCTTTAAATTCTCTATCAGGCATATTACCTATATGTGTTTTGGTTACATCTCTGGCCATGACCTTTCCTTGTTTCCTTTGGGATGAATTCTTCCATCTTGGCATTTTCTCTAAGTCTCTGTTTTCTTCTTTGTGTTAGAAAAGCCTGTTATGATTTCTGCTCTTAAGAGTAACAGCTTTATGCAGAAGAGGCCATATAATGTCCAGGGTCTGGTGCTTCAGGAATTGTCTTTGATATGTGCTGATGCACTTTCCTAGTGTGTTCTGGCTGCTCTATCCTCCAGGCCTGGCATCCACAGAGGCTCATCTTGCTGGCTCTGGGCAGTGTTTGGTCCTTGGACAGAGTAAGGTGAGTTTTAACTAGTCTGCTTGTTAAATGAGACCTGATGCTACTTTCACTAGAATTGAAGCTGTGCAGAATTCTTGTTGGGAGACATGGTATGGGCAGGGGTTTCTGCTGGTCTTCTAGGGAAGAGGTCCACTGCACTGGGACTGAGGCAAACATGGCTGAGAAGGCCAGTACTACCAGAGTTCAGGGGTGTGTGACTTGGTGTAAGGATTGGGCAGACAGTGCCAGTGCTCTGCTATTTATTGCAGGTGGTTCTGTGCCTATGCTGAGAAGGGGTAGGAAATGGCCACCAGCTCCTTTGTCCCCAGAGAAGGGTCTCCATGCTTGCTGCTCTCAGGGAGGTACTCTAAGCAAAAAAAATAATCTCCCCCTGTGCATCCCAGGCATTTTTCAGATTGAAGTTTTAATGTTGTCTACCTCCAGATTGTTTTCCTGTCCTCTCTGCAGGAGCAGTGAAGTGCCCTCTAGGCATTTTACCAGCTAAGACTGCTGACTTTTAAAACTTTAGGTTTTAGGTACCCAGTGTGGGTAGGGGCTTATGCTGGTCTTCTTGGGGAAAGTTTGAAAGTGCTGGGACTGAGGGAGGTTTGACTGAGATGGGCAGTTGCACCAGAGTGCAGCACAGTGGGACTTGGAGCAAGCTGGCTAGGCAGACAGTGTTTGGGTTTGCTGTCCTCCATAAATGACTCTGTGGCTATGGTGAGGGACAAGATAGGAAAATGGCGCCCTCAGCTCTTTTGTCCCAGGAGAGGTGACTCCTCTCAGATGTGCTCCAAGAAGAGTGAATAGTCTCTTCCTGTGCACCTTAGGAGATCCACAGATCAAGCCATCAGCCCCAGGGTTGCTTTCCTGCCTTCTTTCCAGGAATAGGGCCATGCCCTCAGTGCTCTATCCCAGATAAGCCACTGTCTGCTAAAACTCCAGTTTTCAGGTCCTGCTTTTTGCAAAAACTCATGAAAATCAGCCCCTCCCATTTTCCCTGTCAATGGCATTGGGGAAGTATTCTCATGCTTTGGGTAAGTGAACTTTCCCTTCTGAGCCTCTTCCTCTCACATTTCTCCATGACCGGGACTCTCCCCTCCATCGCTCCCATGATCCATTTCTTCCCCAAACCATGCTTCTGCTGTTCTTACCTTCCTCATTGTGGATTCTTCTCTTCCTCTAGTTGTAGAGTTTGTTTCATCAGTCAGGTCAATTTCTTGGGCATTCAGAATGATTTGATAATTATTTAGTTGTTTTTGAGGGATGAAATGAGCATAGGGTCTTCCTATTATGCCACCATCTTAACACCCACCCAGCCATCTTACTTCTAATTAAAATCTCAAGTGATAATCAACTCAGCACTATTCACATTTTTAGATAACTCAAATTTTTAGAAAGATGTGTTTCGGATTGCTGCCTCTTCCAAAATGACATTAAAGATAGGTGACTAGAAAACAGGAGGGTCTACTTTGACATTTTATGTAAAAACATAACTGAGTATTATTCATAATTGTTCAAGATAGGATATATGATGGAGAAACACAAAAATCGAAAGTATGAGAGGAAACAAGCTTTTTATTTTATGATACTTCTGTTTCTGCTGACAGCTTTGCTGAACTAAAGATTCTTCTTGAAACTAAGGTAAAATGTCAATAGACACGGTGATTGGAGAAGGCAAATAAAGGCCTAAATCTCTAGCTACTAAAGGCAAAAGTGTAACAGAAATGGTCCCAAATAATTTGAGATTTAATGTACCAATGTATGTTATTGATCAAAAATTACACATGGATATATTCTAAGGATCGAAAATAAAGCAAACTGTCTCCCTTCATTGTTTTCATCCCTGTTCATACAAGCTCTTGTTTTCAAAGTAAATCACTTGTCCCTATTCCTTGCCTTAATGTAACCAAGAATTTTGGACTTATGATTTCTTCACACTCACTTAACTTTTATCAATTTTATTATAAAAACAAATAAGTGAAAATAATATATAAGAAAAACATAATATAAAAAAATTAAACCTTTGTTTTTGGAATATTCTTTCAATATTTTATGCACTTTAGCTGCTTTATTATAAATTTCACACTAATTAATTAGGTCCTGCTGTCATTCTGCTCTATTTACCTATGTTATCATGAACACCTCTGTCTCTCTCTCTCAGTTTATTTACTTATTATTTCATCTTCAGGTTAAATTGCAGTTTCTACTACCTTAATTCTTTTCACTTAATGCCATTATAGTTTTTACTTTTCTTTGACACAGGCTAGACTCGGTGAATGTCAAAATAGTAAATACGAGTGATATTTTAGTGAAATCTTACATGATAAATAAAAGTTGTAGTAGAAAAGAGGTATAAGAAACATTTTAAGAAGCACTAAAAATACATTGACATTGGTTGCAAAAGTGTGTGGGTGTTTTAAAGACAGAAAGATCTTTGTGTATGTCTTTATAATTAACTAATAGTGGTAGCCTAATTTCTCAAAATAGTTAGAAAATTAAAAGTCAATCCTAAAAAAGTCATATGCCCATAGTCTGACAATAATACTTTATATTTTTATTTGCTATCAATACTGTTGATAAAATATTTAAAGACATATAGTTTGATAGGTTTTCTAGAACCTATTATATCTATTTTCATTATGATAAACCTGGCATCTTATTTAAAGGCCTAACAACTAAAACTGCTCATAAGTGCTTTTCATTGGTGGTTTGCCCCAAGATTTTAGGGGTTGACCTGTTAATATTAAACAATGATAAGCATAATCTATACAACTCTTAAAAGGATCAGAGGCAATACATTCCTGTAAATGTATGCTAACTTTTAGAGTCAATTTTCCACTTGGCTCCTAACATATACAAATGTTATTCAATACCACCTAATAGTTTCTGATCCTAAGGCTCAATCTCCCAGCAGACTCATTTGCATGGAAGGTATTCTGGATATTGCTGAAGAAGATAAGATGGGACTTCCAAAGTCAGTCATTTCACTCAGGGGCTGCTTCAGAAGCAGACAAGTATTAACCACAGTCAGGTCTTAATGCCCCACACCCCAGAAAACAGCACTGCACTGAGAGTTTAGAAGTCATACTATTCACCCTCTAAAACACACATTCACAGTCAGTTTGCTGGCTTACATCTTTTACCAGTAAGGTATATAGCATTTAGTAGCAAAAAAAGAGTTATCAAATATATTTCTGTTAAGTGTATGTATTTTGGTATTGGGGAATTTGACATAAGGCTTAGATAGAAATGTGCAACTGCTATGCAGAGTAATTACACCCAGCACCTGGAAGATCTTAGTTCATAGGCATGCCTGAAGACCATGTTTGCCTTTAAGAGAAAACCCTGTTGCATGGAGAATTTGCAGAATGCTTTCTCTCTTTATGTCAGAAACATACCTCCTGAAAAAACTCTGATTAGATCTTAGCAAAGAAACAGAGTGATCCAAAGGAAACTTACAAGAAAGAAAGCTAGATATTCTTACAGGTGCTACTACCATTACTTAGAAGAGGATAAGACATTTGTGTTTTGGGGGTGATGGAAAAGGAAGCCCAAACCACAGGAGAGTGTTTTGAAAAGACTTCACTTGGTGTAGCTGGCATAGAGGTGGATTTCAGTTGTTATTACTACATATTTCTAACAAGAATTTTAAAGCAGAAGAGCAATGGGGTCCTTGAAGGGCAGAGATTAATGTGATTGATATGAAAAAAACAAAACAAAACTGCTTTTGTTCGTGCCTAACACTGACTTCTAGGGTTACGTAGTGCTTAGAGCTGCTCACTGAATTAAACTCATAATATATTTTTAAACATGCTCTGATAGAACTAATAGAACAAATGAATTTGATGTTGATGCTTTAAAAGGGCTACTGTGAAACGTATTCAAAATTTTGTGTCTCTATATTTCTGTCTTAATTTTTGTTAAAGAGGTTTGTTTCTTCAGGCAGTTTGAAGAGAACACCAGAGAGAATTAGAAATGTGATGTTCTTCAAATTGTTTATATCTCAATTTTTAGGTATTTAGATTTACTGTAATATATTAAGCAATCTGGCTATCCTTAGGATGTTTGTTAAAAATAAGGGCTAAAATGTGTGTACCTTTTGACATTCTTTAGTTTTACTATATGTATGTAACAATTGAGAACTTATTTTCACTCCATAAAAAGAAAACATATGAATCATGTCAGGTCGAATATGGATATTCCCTTTTTATTTTTATAATTTTTCAATTTTATTGTTAAGCATTTCCTAATCTCATGAGATTTGAGAAGGCTTTTTTTTTTTCCCCCAAGATTCAAGGTAATTGCTAAATCCCAGGTTTAAACTGATCCAGAAAATGTGTCCAAGATTTCGCATTTGAGTTTTCTATGACTCCTGTTGGACACAGAGTAGAGTGCAGGAGTTAATGAGATATTGACACCAGTGGTTACTGTGTGGGGGATATCTAATGTCACATGATCATTGGCATTCTTTCTTCTGACAGGGTCTCTCTGAGAGTCAGTGAAGCATATCAGCAAGTACCTCCTGGAGTCAAAGCAGAGGTGAAAGGCCCGCAGAGCCAGGACATCATAGCTGTGTTCCGGACCACGCTATTTCTCCAGCTGGTGAGATCCCAAGGCACAGATGTAGGTACTGCAGCCTGCGAGCTTGTGTGACCCATGTTTGTGCTGTCCCATTGTGGAGCAAAGAGGGATAAAGTAGAATTTGCTACAGGAAAGCTATGTAGGAAGTTGGGGGGGGTTGGAATGTTGCAGAAAATAATTGACTTTGGGATCCGTGTTAAATTATATCTAATGTTAACTTTAGTCTACAAGTGAAGACAGGAATGGATTAGAATGAGAGTGGGTCAAAATATTTCCTATGCAGAATATGATTTTTTTAATCCTTAGATATTTTAATGGATATTTAATTCTTTTTTAGACAATATAAACCTGTGTTTTTTTCCCTTTTATCTCTATGGATGTTACCTAACCAGTTAGCAATGCATTATCCAAAGCTTACATTCTCTCACCTTTCAGTTAAGTATAATAAAAAAAAAAGTTTTCGTTTTGAAAATATGGTTTTCTATCAAAACAGACCCAGTTTTATATTTGCAAATTTATTTTTTTCATTATTTTGTTATACAGATATTCAATTAAAATACCATTAAAGAGAAACCAGTTAGCTAGGAAAACATGACATTGAGACAAGATTTACTTTATGATTTGGCACTTGGGTAGAGAGAATATTTATTGAAAAACAAATGGCAATGTGTTTATACATTATATCATTATAGACGATTGTTCAAATAAGTTTCCCGATATTATAAAGTAATGAAATGGTAAAATATTAAGATATTTTGAAAACCCAAGAATCAAATCTATTTAGGAAGAACAGTTAACTGGTTCTTTCTACATTTACCAAAAATATTCTTTTGGGAAAATGTTTTCTCCTCTTTAATCACTATGTATTTATTTATATTTTAGGGGAGAGAGTGTATTAAGTATTTTTTGAAAGGTATTGTTTATACAAGTTAAGTGTAGGTGCAAGATCATTTATTTGGATAAATATACATAAGCTATATATATGATATACATACTTGAATTAAATAAATATTTATATATATATATATTACATGTCTTGGAGCCTCAGTGTTCTTCATTTACAAACAGAAATGAAATCGCCACTGTGCAGCATAGTTATTCTAATAAGTTATTCCTCCCTCACTTAATATTACTTCCTAAACTCCCTTTCCTTGAATCCCATGATTTCCACGTTTTCCTCATTCTCTGAATGTGTGTGTCCTTACTAAAGAGGGAGTTACTCTTTTTGGTGTTAAGATAGTGCCCATTGGGGCATAAAACAGGCACTAAGAGATCAAACATAATTTTTCAAAAGATGATATAAATCTAGATTTTTAGGGGAGTATGGAATATAATGTACATTTTTAAATTTTGGCAATGAATTAAGTTATTTTAAAAACAGTAAAGCTTAACATCACATGTCCATAAACACTAATGGACCTTTATTTAATTGCGTAGGATTGCTGTTATAAGGCATTACAAAAAGAAATTAAAAACAATTTTCTTTCTAATATTCCCAGATAAATATTTCCTTTACCTTGCTTATTTCAGATGATCATGCTTCTCATTCATTTAGTTGTCCCCGTTACTTCATGATAAATAATGTTATTTTCATGCCTCGTGAAACATGGCATAGGATTTGAGCTGTGTTCTTTGACAGCAGTCCTCAAAAATGAGCGAGGAGAGAGTGACATATGTGGAGCTAAAATTACCCCATTCAAGGGAACAGAAGGACAAAAGACGTCCAATGGATAAAAGGAGAGGTAAAGGTTTTTCGGTTTGTTTTCTTGTTTTCTGAAAACGTTATGATGTCAAATAAGAAAAAGTGAAATCATAATACTCATGCCTATACTTATTTGATATTTTATGTCTGGCTCTTTATATATCAATGGGTATATTTAAATGTAATATTCAGTGAGTTTTATTATCACAGTGAATACTGACATTCATTTTAATTCCAGAGGGAATTTCCATTTCGTTCTAATTCTGGGAGCTTTGCTATGCTCGGTGTTTACTATATATTTTGCTTTCTGATTTTGTACAGAATTTCCATGGTATACGGTTGCATTAACCCTAGGAGTTATATGTTTTCTCCTCCTGCTGACAATCACAGGCTTAGGATTTATGTGTGAGTATTGGACATACACAGTTCTTATGAGAGCAGTGAGCCAGAGTGATAAATGAAATGTTATAACTACTGAATTTCTGTGGAACCCTCGTAAATCATAAAGTCCTATAGAAATGTTAATAATCATGATGGCATTGATGATAATATTGATGATGATGATTTTATTATTTTGTTATCACTTAGTTTTTATGCTACACAAAATAGGGTACATAATAGTTGTAATAGCACAAAATTTGGCTGAAATGTACAGTGAGGCTTACACATTTATTCATCCTTATATTTTGTGTAAAAGGAGGTTTTCTGTATAATCAGAGAATTGGGAAAATCTTTACTTGAATATTATATTCCTTTTCATACTGCAAAACTGCTTAAATCACAGAGGAATATAAGGTTGATCTATTTTCTATATCACTTTATATTTAATATCAATTTCCTATTTTTTAAAGATTTTATATTTTTATTTGACAGAGAGAGAGTGCACAAGCAGGGGGGAGCAGCAGAGGGAGAGGGAGAAACAGGCTCCGCGCTGAGCAGGGAGCCCCGACATGGGGCTTGATCCCAGGACGCAGGGATCATGACCTGAGCTGAAAGCGGACGCTTAACCAACTGAGCCACCCAGGTGCCCCTTAATATGTCTTTTTAATTCAGATCCAGTATATGAACATTGGAATGGATGGCTGAATTGAAGCAGTAGTTATATTTATTGCAATTGACTACATTAAGAGACTGTGCAATTAATATTGTTGGAGTTTTACAAGTAGACATTGAATTTGGCTGAATGATGGTGGGTGGTAGCAGAATTGGAAATTAAGATTCTCAGTTGTGTAACAAAACCTTAAAGGATTTTTCTTTTAATATTCACACACTTACAGAGCAATATACTTTATGCTTTTATGTTTTTTATTTGTGAGCTTTGGGAAGATATTGCTATATTGCATATTAGAAGTAGCTATCTGAGCTATCTTGGTCCATGTAAATTCAATGAATCAACTATAAGTTTATCTTAGAAGAAAGTCAAATCACTGTATTTGGCTTTACATGCAAATACTCATTGCTAAATAAATACTAAATACAAAATCTCACCAACTTTGAAACCTTTATTTGAAAATTAGATGACATAGAAACTAGTTAATGTTTTATTTCAAGTTTATATTTTCTGATTCGTATGTTTATATGTTTTGTGTTAAGTTTATATACTTAAAAATAATGGATAGTAAGTTATATTTTCATTTAAAAATCTGTTTTATTTTCTGATACTTCAAACTATTTTAAACTACCATTTTTTCTGATTGTACTTTCATTTAGTCAACAACATTCTTTATGCCATTTAGAATTAGAGTAAACAAGTATAATAATGTGATCTATGAAAGGCATTCATGATCTTATTTTTATAATATGGATTGAAGTTTTTCAGAAGTGTTTTGCACACACAATGCAAGATATGAACAATACAAAAGAAAAAAGTGCTTCCTTAGGAGAGGCCGAAGATCACTCTATTTTATTGCCTATTACAGGTATGCGCTTGAATACTTACAGTGATAGTTTACAAGTGTTTTTTTTTTTCATGGAATTATCCCCTCTGTCCCGTTTCAATATATAATTAAAAATTCTATGTTGTGCTTTGTCAGGTCCTTTAATTTTGCTCACCTTTTTAATTTTTTTAAATCAAATCCATTTTCTTCATAATAGCTAATCTAAATCTTGACTTTCACAAAGTCATGTTGATTTGATTATTTGAGTAATTGATGATCATGGATGAATTTTTCCCAATATAGATCCCTTGGAATTAACACCATCTCTGTATATTCACTTTGTGGATTTCTTCCTGCAAGGATAGCTGCTCCACATGGCTGCAGTTTATTTGTCCTTGAGAAGTCAAAATTTCTTAGTGCAATCCTAACAATGGTCTGAGGTCTGTCAGAGACAGTCCCTGGCTCCACAATTTGGCCAAAGAGCTATTCCCAGCATTAGACTTTTGGGAAATGGGAAAACCATCTATTTTTGGTCATTCAGTCTGAAGTAAGCAAGAAATATGTGGGAAGTGCAGGTCTCTAAGTGGTCTTGTGGTTGAGAATCATGGTGGCTTTTCTTTTCAAGATAAAGACTATGACTCATTTCAAGGAAGTTGGTACTGCTGTGGAAAAAGCTGTTACTATTTTTCAAAAGAAGAGGAAACTTGGGAGAGGAGTAAGAAGTCATGCGAAGACCTGCGTTCTAGTCTCATTAAGATTGATAATAAAGAGGAGCAGGTATGTCTAGTTTATTGAACCTGATTAAATGCTTTATGAGAAGTCCTATGTCTTGAATTAGGATAGTTATTTCAACTTTCCTCCAATATTATTTGGCCACTTTGTTTTGAAGCACTTGTTAATCAGTGTTGATTTCTCTGGAGAAGAGACAAAGGTGTAACAGAGACCCAGAAGAACCATTGTTTTTATTTATTTATTTTTTAAGTAGGCTTCAGTCCAACCTGGTGCCCATATGGGGCTTGAAATCATGACCCTGAGATCAAGACCTGAGCTGAGCTTGAGTCAGGTGCTTAACCAACCAAGCCACGTAAGCACCCCAAGATCCATTGTTTTAAACAATGAACAAGAGAAATGGCTCTGCTGTCCCATTTCATTTTTAGTCTTTTTATTGCATGTGTTGCATTCTTACATTTTAATGTTTATCACATGGTTCAGTATTTAGCTTCTCAGGGCTAATACAAGGCAAAAGAAAAACTGCCTTCAATGGTGTGAGCAACCTAAAGAGATAATTCTTGTTGTACTGAGTTCTGTTGTTCCTTCTCTCAATATTTGGAAGGAATCACACTTGTAAGAGAAGATGAGTCTCTCACTTTCATGCATGGCCATGGGAAAAATGATAAAAAATAAAGATTGAATTTACTGGAGTGATTCTTTAAAGATGAACTTTTATTTTACATATAATCCAGAATGGCAGAGGAAGCATCTCTTTTCTAGAAGAGATAATCTAGATCAAATTTGCCATTCCTTATAAAGTTTAGGACTATAAAGTCAATTGAATGGACTCTGTAGATTTCCTTCTAATGATTCCATTTAGGCACCAAATTCCAGTTACACTGTTTAGTCCTAGCAATGTTACTCCTAGTAGTATCTTGTGGAGGCTAAGTTAAAAGCCCTATATTCAAAAAACAACAAGAACACCACCACTCAGGGGTGCCTGGTTGGCTCAGTCAGTGGAGCATGTGACTCTTGATCTCAAAAGTTGTGAGTTCAAGCCCCATGTTGGGTGTAGAGTTTACTTAAAAAAAGTAAATAATAAGTAAATAAAACAAACAAAAATGCTTCTGTTTTCTTGTGTATAAAATTCTTATTAAAATAACAATATGAATGAATCACTTTTACCTATATGAAACAGATGAACTAAGTAATTGCATAAGGAGTCAAATTTTAAAAATCCAGGTACATCTTATTAATACCTTGATTAATTTAAACCTTAATTGTTATCAGTCAGTTCCTAAAAGATTTGAGTTTTCTTCTCTCAGAAATTAACTTTATTTGTAATCTGTACTTTCCCTGTAATTTCCAATTCATGGTTCTTCAGTTTTAGTCCTGCCATTGAAGTTTCTATGCTTCAGAGTTTGAATGAAACTTCTTATGCTTGTTATGTCTGTATTTCCATGAACTAATCTAGAGCCTTTGAAATTCCTTGAGACTTTTGCCACTAGTTAGAACAAAAGCTGAGTTTCATGATCTATTTAATCTGATAGCCTTGCTGTCAGGATCTAAACTGGAATACTGATGCACTATACAAGCCCTGTAACAGACTTTGCTGTAGAACAGCATTACTCTTACACTAATGGTTTAGGATTTTCAGTCTTTTGCTGTTTTACAAAGCCTAGAAGTGTAATGAAATCAGTGTCTTAAATCCACTGATACAGAAAACTGAGATTGGCTTTTATGCATTTATGTATACCCCTAAATCTAACAAAAATATGTGAGTGAAAGAATCAATGAACATTTAACTTTAGTATTTCTTCAGAGACCTAGAAATGATAAAGTATATTTTTGTGACACTTATATAATACCCATCCATTTTCCCTACTCTAAAAGATACACTATTGAGTTTTTTTTCTTATACAATGTAATTATAGTGAAAAAAATATTGGCGTGTGTATGTATGTGTGTCTGTTTGAGAGGAGAGAGAAAGAGCGGGAGAGAGACAGAAAGGGAGAGGATTTGAGAGAGAGGGAGAGAAAGAGAGACAGAAAGAGGTAATAAATACATTGCTTTTAGGAAAGAACATTAGCTTGTTGCTTCACATTTGCATCCATAAGGGAACATTTAAATGAATAAAATATGCCAGTTGGAATAATGATTACAAATAATTTACAGTTTTTTTATGTTAAAGATATTTCTTACCCTGAATTCATTATTCAGTGCACAAAATTTTCAAAACTGAGAGTATGATTCCCACTTTATAGTTATATATAGTTACAGAATATACTCCATATAGTTATGGAAAATACTCAAGAAAGTTTTTTTTTTGTTTTTTTGCTTTACTGTACATAGCAAATAAACGACATAAGCTCTTTTAACACTTCTAGGTATAGTTTCTTCATTTTCACTGCTGTGTAAGATTCCACAGTGTGATATGCTTCATCCATTTTCTAGATGATGGGAATTTCAGTTGTTTCCAACTCTTGTTGCAATGAATAGTCCTTCATTAAGCATTCTTAGACATATCTCTGTGCAACATTGTTCCATGTGTCTTCTCTTCTTTTTATGACAAATCATCCTAGGAGTGGAATCATTGGTCAATAGTGTTTGTACAAGTTCAATTTTATATGAGAATTCCACATTATTTTCCAATATGATTTTAGCAATAGTTTTAAAGATATCTTTGATCTCTACTATCCCACAAAGTTGGTGTTGTTATTTTTATTCTGCAAATTGAATAGTTGTAAAATATATCCTTGTGACTTTGATTTGCATTTTCCCGATCTCTAGTGAGCTTGGCTCTTTCTATAGTTATTGGCTATATGCTTTATTTATTTGAAATGTGTTCTTATGTTTTGTCCATTTTTTTCCTATTGGATAATTTTATTTTGATATTGTTTTATAGCAATATCTATTTGTTCTTTAAATTATTGCAGATGTCTCTAGATTTGAAGCTTGTCTTTTCACATTCTTTAAGGTAGAGAAAAGTTCTAGGTTTAGTGCAATCCTATTTACTTTTCTACTTTATTATATGTGAAGTTTTTAAGTCCATCATGTCCCTTTCTGGATAGCTTTCATTCAATCACTAAGAATTGAGTGATTCGTTCATTAAATTCTTTCCATATCCATTTCTTCTCTGCACCATGGTCATTCGTTGAATCCTTTCCATATCCAATTCTTCTCTGCACCATGGAGAAAGTAGCTTGCCTCCTCCGTTTAGCATAGTGGCATTTGAAGATAAAGGTGCCCAGTATTTTGTGAGTCCTCTGTGGGTGAAGTGTTTTCATTGATATTATGAATAATACCAATAATTCTAATTTTCCCGCAGAACATCATTCAATCAAAAATAAAATACAACTATTGGATTGGATTACATAAAACAGGAGCTAAGACTTCCTGGAAGTGGCTGGATGGCACTCTCTTATCTCAGATGGTGTAAGTTTTCATGTCACAGTTTTCCCATTCCCTTTCCTGCTCAGGAACTGCCTGGTAGATTATAGGTCAAGAAGAGGGAAGGTTCCTTGGGGACTTCAGGAATATCTTGAATCCCATTTGATCTTGCTTCTCAGATAGGCAACCAAATGCAAATATCAGGCTTCAAATAGACCAAAGAGCATTATTTATTCCAATGTTCTTTAATGGAGGGTCCTTCTAAACACAGTAATGTGACATTTTGCTTTTGTATCTTTCTCTTGTATGTTCTGTGATACTGGCATGTTCACTGCTATGGTTGCAGGAAATGGTAAAAATATAATGAGGAAAGAAAAGTTGCATCTAAACCCAGTTCTCTCTGTCATTGCAACTTGTACCTGTTTACTTTGTATCATTCAAGAACTAATAAGAAAAAAGCTTTTTCCAAATAAATCCTTTAGTAATCTTGTATCTCTAATGTGGTGACTTACTGTCTTTCATGCTATTATTTCACACAAGTCCACATAATTTCTGGTAGTCATGTCTCATTAGTAAATCCCATACATTTGTTGGTTGATGTCCAGGAAACTAGTTTAGAAAATGAAGCAAACAATCTAACTAAATCTAAGTAACATGGGGGACAGTATGAGAGACATAGGATATTTAACATGCTGTTTATTGATGGCCTATAACACATCAGGCACTATTGTAGTCATTGAAGTTACAGTGATGAATAAAATATGCAACAGTATCCTCCTTTAATGGATAATACATTCTAATGCAGGCCTGATAGTGCTGGTAGGATGAGTGAGGACAAACCAAATATGCCAAGTAAATTATATGGTACATTAGAAGAAGATAAATGCTATGGAGTATTGTGAAGTCTCTTATTTTTTTTTCTATATCATAATGTCTTTTGTGTATGAAGGTAAGAGAAAGAGATTTCACTGTTTTAAATGAGATGGTCAGAGACAGCCTCCTTGAGAAATGATATTTGTACAGTATCTTGAATGAGCCAGGTCTGTGGATTACCTGATGGGACAGCATCTTAGCAGTAGAAACAACTGGTGCAAAGACTCTGAAGTAGGAGTGTATTTGGCATGCTTGAGGAAATAGCAAGAGGGCCTGTGATGCTGGAGTAAAGTGAACAAGGGGAAGAGATGTAGGTCAGAGAGTTAATGATGGAGAGTGTGTAGGACATCAGAAAAGAGTAAAAACTTGGATTTTTTCAAGAGGGCAATGAGAAGCTATTAGAGCATTTTGAGCAGAAGAGTGACAAAAGCAGGCTTCCTGTTTTAGAGACTCCCTCTGGACACTCTGTTGAGATTACTTGGTGTGTGTTCTTTTGGGGAGGGTGCAGGGATTATAAATTAGGAGGCAGGAACCTACTTAACAGTCTGTTGGAATCATCCAGATGAAAACTGGTGACTTGATGATGATTAGTAGGGTTGGTGCTGGTGTAAAGTGGCCAGATTTCACATTTCTTTCAAAGATGTGTGAGAGACAGACAAATCAGGGATGCCTCCAAGGGTTTTGGTCCAGAAGTTGTAAGATTGATGTTGCCATTAATGTTAATATGGCATAATTGGAATTCAGTTTTAGATACAATTTTAAATAATCTATTAAACATTTAGCTATGTATGGGGGTATCACATGGGGCATTGTGATACATGATTATGAGGTTCACGTGAGAGGTCTGTGCTGGGGATGCAGATGTACACAGCTGTGCGCAGACAATGTGATAAATAAGAGGGTGGAAGTTATTCTCAGGAAATCTAAAGCCTGAGCCCTTGGACACCCAAATGTTTAAGACAATGATAAGATAGCCGGGAGATGAAGATAGCCAGAAAATATCATTGAGAAAAGTGCTTCAGAGACAGGAGTAAAACCAAGAAGGAGCAGGTAGGGTAATGGAATCCCTATAAAATAAGTACTACTGAAACAACAGCAGAATTTAAAAGGTTGGTGAGTTCTCACTGACAATTTTACTACTTGAAATTGTTACTTCCTATCAGATATATTCATGAACATTTGGAGGAAAATTAAAACTAAGTAAATTTTTTTTTTCTGTATACTGTAGCCTAGGGCCCCCCCCCCCAGATACCTGATTCTCATTGCCCAAATTTGCAAATTTTAATGCTTTGTTTGGTGTGGAAAACATTAGGCTGAGTGGGGAAAAGTGCACTCTGTCTTAAACGCATATGAGCACCTTCTGTGATTAAAACGAGGTTAGCACTGGAAAAGCATACTCTGTGCATACTAATCTGAATCATAGGAAACTGGAAATATTTTATATGTAGTTACAGTATGTCACATAATGAATTTATTATATTTGGTCCCTTCCTAGAAGTTTCAGGAGTCTTAGAATTTTTCAAGTGTACATGTCTAACCCATGTATACATCCCAGTCTATACTAGTCTTTCTACTTCTTCCCTATCTCCAAATGTCCACTGGCAACATTTCCATTAATTTTAGATACAACTACACTTTATAATCTTACAGCTGTATGTTTGTCACATGATTTATATGTCCATTGAAATAATTGCACATATGTTTTAAATTTGTGGTAAATTTTGCCCGAGAAATAACTTTCTAAAATAAATATATTCTCTGATGCAGGAATTTCCAGCAAAGTTTAATGGATGTAAAATGTGGACACCTCAAGTCATCGAAAATTTTTACTGCTGATTGTAGTAAACCCTTTCGTTACATTTGTGAAAAAAGAGTTCACTGGCCCTGATTATTAAAAGAATTACTGTCATCAAAGTTTTAATGTTTTCTTTCTTTAACAGCTATTAGGGAAACAATTTAGGATATTAACTCAAATTAGCCCAATATGCATGATTTATTAAGGGTTATGATCATTCAAATATTCCTCAACAAGGTTAAAACTCTAAGGTTTATAAATAGGAATATTATATATTCAAAAAATAAGTTTATTGTTTAGAAATTTCAAGAACCAATCCACCAAAGAATGTGAAACAAATTCATTTTCACTGAGTATAAGATTTTACATTTACAAACAATTAAATGATTCTGATATAAATAGGTTATTAATACATTCATGATGAACAAGTTCTCTTTATCCATCTTGTTCCCAAGTCACCTAGTTCCCTTCTCATAGGCAAACTTGTAATAGTTAGATAGTATTCCAAAGATATTCTAGGAAAGTACAGCCATATGCATGCTATCTGCTAAACAAAATGTTACATAACTACAAACAATAGTATTGCTTCTTTACATTTTTGTTTAAAAATATATCATGCAGTTTGTTCCATATCAGTACATAGGAGCTGCATCACTGTAAGCAGTTGCAAATGTTACACTAAACGGATGTACCAAAAATTTATCTAACAGTTTTATTTCCAATCGGTATTTCAGTTTGTCCCAGAATTTTACAATTGTAGAAAAATGCTGGAATGAATAGCACTTAATACAGTATTTTTTGCCTATGTATGTATATATATATATATATATATATATTTATATATATGATAAATCTCTAGCAGTGAAATCTCTGTAGCAAAAGATGTGTACATTAAATTTTAATAGACCTGTAATATTTCAGTAGAGGTTGTCCACCTATCATCTCCACACAGCAACATTCAAGAATTCCTGCTTCCTCATTTCTTTACCACCACGTGTTATCGATGTGTTTGATTTTGTCAATAAAATTTTCACCAATATAAAAGGGGTTATATTGTGTTGTTTAAATGTATAATTTCCTATTATTTGTGAAACCAGCGTCTCTTTCTGGTATTTCTTTTATTTAAACTATCTGGCCATGTCTTTGTGGATTGATATCCCAAACCTAATTTTGAGCAAAGAAACCAGACACAAAATAATCCATCCTTAAAATTCCCCTATTTATAAGGTTCAACACCAGGTAAATTTAATCTCTGCTATTAGAAATTAGGACAAAAGTTCCTGCTATGTGGATTTATTCCTAAAATGAACAATAATGGAGAATGAATACCATTTACATTGGTGCAGAGTTATTCTTGGAAAGAAACTATGTCCAAGGGGCATTTCTCAGGTGCTGATAATAATCGGTGTAATAATCTGGGGTGCTGGTTACATGGGTGGTATATTTATTCCTTCTGCTGCCATGACAAGTACCATAACCTGGGCGTCTTTGAACAATATACATATATTTTCTTCATAGTTGTGGAGGCTAGAAGTTTGAAATGAAGGTGTCAGGACCAAGTTCCATTTGAAACTCTTTACTTTACTTGTTTGAGCAAATCCTTCCTTGCTTCTTCCCAGTTTCTGTCGGTTGTGAGCAATCCTTTTGTTTCTTGGTTTGTCATTGTATCACTCCGATCTTTGTTTCTGTCATCACATGGCATTCTTCCTTTGCGTCACTGTTAAAATATCCGTCTCTCATAAAGAGACTCTTAGGCCCCTTCCTGTAAAAAATAGAAGTCTTAAACAACACTTTAGACCAATTATACCTGACAGTTATATAGAGAACACTCTAGCCACTAGAGAATACACATTTTTCTCATTTACACATAGAACCTTCTCCAAGATAACAAATAGAATCTCAAAGGACTATCTGTAGTCAAAACTATCTTGAAAAAGAAGAACACAGTTGAAGGCCTTACACTTCCTCATTTGAAAACCTCTAACAAGGGCGACTGGGTGGCTCAGTCGTTAAGCGTCTGCCTTCGGCTCAGGTCATGATCCCAGGGTTCTGGGATTGGGTCCCACATCGGGCTCCCTCCTTGGTGGGAAGCCTGCTTCTCCCTCTCCCACTCCCGCTGCTTGTGTTCCTGCTGTCTCTGTCAAATAAATAAATAAAATCTTAAAAAAAAAAGAAAAAAAAGAAAACCTCTAACAAAATTACAATTATCAAAATACAGTCCTTCCTGAACTTAATGATGGTTATGTCCCAATAAACTCATTGTAAGTTGAAAATATTCTAAGTTGAAAATGTATTTAGTACACCTAAACTACTGAAATCAAAGCTTAGACTAGCCTACCTTAAACATACTTAGAACACTTATATCAGCCTACAGTTAGGCAAAATCATCTACACAAAGCCTTTATTATAATAAAGTATTGACTATCTCAAGTAATTTATTAAATACTCTTGAAAGTGAAAAGTAAAAATAGAATGGTTGTATGGGTACTGAATAGTTGTAAGTGCATCAGTTGTTTACTTTTGTGATCACATGGCTTTCTGGGAGGTGTGCTCACTGCCACTGTCCAGCATTATGAGACTATGGTACCACATATTGTTAGCCAGAGAAAAGATCAAAATTCAAAACTCAGAGTATGGTTTCTACTGAATGCATATCACTTTTTCACCACCATAAAGTCAAAAATCATAAGTTGACCCATCATAGATCCATCTATTTTAAGTTTGGTTCTGTCTGTAAGATGGTACTGACATAAAGACAGACATACAGGCCAATGGAATAGAATAGAGCGCCCAGAAATAAATCTTTGCATATATGATCAAGTGATTTTTAACAAGAGTGCCAAGACCATTTGATGGAGGAAAGGACAGTTTCTTCACCAAGTAGTGCTATAAAAACTGGCTATTCACATGCAAATAAAAAAAGAAAGAAAGAAAAAAGAAATTTGACCCTTACCTTTGACCATATACAAAATGAACTTAAAATGGATCAGAGCACGAAATGTAAGACACGTCATTATAAAAATCTCAGGAAAAAACATAGGAGAAAACCTCCATGACATTAGATTTGGCAATGATTTCTTTTTTTTAAATTTTATTATGTTATATTAATCACCATACATTACATCATTAGTTTTTTTAAGTTGATATTTTGCATTTTATTTTTTTAATTTTTTTATTATGTTATGTTAATCACCATACATTACATCATTAGTTTTTGATGTAGTGTTCCATGATTCATTGTTTGCATATAACACCCAGTGCTCCATTCAGTACGTGCCCTCTTTAATACCCATTACCAGGCTAATCCATCCCCCAACCCCCTCCCCTCTAGAACCCTCAGTTTGTTTTTCAGAGTCCATCGTCTCTCATGGTTCATCTGCCCCTCCGATTCTCCCCCTTCATTTTTCCCTTCCTACTTTCTTCTCTTTTTTTTCAACATATAATGTATTATTTGTTTCAGAGGTACAGATCTGTGATTCAACAGTCTTACACAATTCACAACGCTCACCATAGCACATAACCTTCCCAATGTCTATCACCCAGCCACCCCATCCCTCCCA